GCCTGGTCGCCCGCGGCCTGGGGAGGGAAGGGCAGGGTGGGTCCTGGGCGTGGGTGTGTGCACAGCTCCGGCGGAGATGGGGACAGACCCCTGCTGTGAGCGGCTGCGCCTCCCCTGCGGGGGGCCGCAGGGCGATGGGTCCTAACCGGGCAGCACGCAGCTCCACAGATGTCCTCCCCCAACAGGGGCAGGGCGTCCCCCTCCCCAAAGAGCACCCCCCTCCAAAGGCTGTCCTCCTCTCCAAGGTGCCCTCCTCCTCAAGGGCGTCCCCCTCTGAAGAACGTTCTCCTCCCCAAAGGCTGTCCTCCTCCAAAAGGTGTCCTCCTTCCTAAGGACCTCCTCCCTCAGAAAGCACATCCCTCACCCCAAAGGGTGTCTTCCTCTCCAAAGGGCATCCTCTGAAGAGCTTCATCCTCCCTAAAGGCTGTCCTCTTCTCCAAGGTGTCCCCCTCCCCAAAGGGCATCCTCGTCCCCACAGGGCATCTTCCTCTGAAGAGTGTCCTCCTCGCCAAGGGACATCCTGCTCCAAAGGATGCCCCAGGGCATCCTCTCTTCCAGAGGGCACCCCCTCCAAAGGCTGTCCACTTTGCCAAGGCATCCTCCCCTCCAAAGGACATCCCCCTCCCCGCAGGGCATGCCCCAAGCTCCTGGTCTGCAGAAAAAAAAGCCACAGGCCTGCCTCCATACCCAGAGAAATCAGCCTTAAAGAGGGGCAGGCTGGTGGGTTTTGGTCCCCTTGCATTATTTTAGGCGAGCGCCTTGCTGCTGGGGAAGAAGGCGAGGTGTCTTTTCAACCATGGGTTTCAGCAGTACCAAGTGACTCAGAGTTTCCGCAGCAGCTAGGTCATGGCTGGGAAACCACAGGGGGCCAGCCCTGCACAGAGCCGGCCAAAATCCCCTGTACAAAGTGGCAGTGGCCCCCAGGCTACTTCCTGGATAAAAGACAAAATTTGCTCAGAAGGTAGAAGCCTCAGTGCCATGCAAGATCTTGGATGTCTAGGGACTTTGCACAGGACGGATGTTGTTCCAGGGCAGACATGTTTCCACTGACGTGGTTAAGAGCATGAGCCTCTGAGTGCAAGCCAGTGCGTGACAGAGCGGGCACGGAAGTGGTTGTTGTTTCACTGTATCACAGATTCAAAGTGTGCATACTTTTACTACCCCCCAAAAATATATGCAATCAAGAAAGATAAACAGACAGCAACAACAAAGTAAAAAATAACACCTTTCAGGGGAACAATGAGAACGCGTAGTAAAATCGTGGCTGTGAAAATAACATACTAGTTTAACTAGAGATACGATTTCACTTATTTTGAAACAATCTTCAGAGTATCTTGAAGCATTAACTTGGCAAGCGGAGTAGTAAGTGGAATTTCCCCTGAATTACAGACAAGAAAACAAATATTTCACTTCAGTGAGACTGCATTGACCAATAGTGTCATTATGGACATGGTCTGTCCTTCAGTTTTTCACATTTTATATGCAGGAACAGAAAATGTCTGTGGTATCTTTGTCTTTTCTCCATTACACTGGTTGGACTGTGCTTTGAACCTCAATTTTCAATTTCAGTTTATAGTCACTGCCCCTAGTCATTTGCTGAAAAACATATTGGTTTCATTTTAATTGCTTTGGAGTCGCAATAGATTCTTGTGAATGGTGCAAATAGCAATTTTTGCATAATTTAGATGTAAAATCCTTGCTGAGACCAGGCAGAGGTAGCTCAAATTCAGTTTAGCCTATTGAGTTCAGTCCTATTGTAGGACTGAACCTGCCCCTTCATCTGCAGTTTATTCTTCCTATTTGAGCAAGGTAAAAATTCTCTTTGCCTTATCTCCAACAGTAATTCTGAGTTAATTATTTCCACGTAAAAAACCTCCCCTTCTCACACACGGACATACCTATTTTTGGCAGTGAAATACGGCCTTGAATTAGCACCACTGTGAATGTAGGATGGGACATTTTCCTGTTCGGTGACAAACTTATATTTGATCATTTCACTCAGGTTACCGGTTCTCCTGAAATAGAAGCGGTATCAAATCAATTATCTCTCCTCCCTGAACAGTGTTTTACAACTGTTTTACAAAACTCGTGAGACTGAGGGCAAAGTCATACAAGAGGGGTCAAATCAATTGAATGGCTTGTTGTCTCCAGGAAGGAGTGGCCTGGCTACTACCCTTGTCATAGCTTTGCTCTCTCTTTTGTAAGGTAAGAGAAGTTACTATCCTGGCAAAAAGCAGAGCCAAAAATAAACACACAAAAACCTCCAGAAAAGAAAAAGTGAGTAGCTTTCTGCTCAGTTAGTGAGTTGAATCAGCTCAGGAAAGGGTCCAGTGGTCGCCAGAGCTGACTGAAGGGAGCCAGACACCCAAGAGCAATTGCAAGGGGAAGAAGGGAGATTTTCTTTCTCTGACAATAAACTTTTAGATTAGCTCACGACATACTAAATGCTTATAATCAGAATGTTGGCAATAATGTCAAATCAAGCATTTATTTCTTGCCTGTCCCAATCCTGGTGACTTTGACCCACCACTGACTGCACAAGCAGAAGTTTTGTGTGACCATGTGGTGACATGATGTGAAGAAATGATCTGCTGGCTGAAAATAATCTTGGGGAGAAAAAGAAAAGTGGTTGCTATTCATTCAGCTCACTTCCCCAGTCTGGGAGCTAACCATGACCTGAGTACTAATGGTCCATCCACAACTTTAAAGGCGAGAACACAAAGGTTATGTGCCTGGAGTGCCTCACAAAAAGCTGATTTTAGGCAAAACAGAATTGAAAAAGGGTTCTTGTGCACAAAAGCCTATCCACCTATTTCAGGTATATCTGTCTAGTAAAAAACTGATATCTCTCGTTATAAACTGTGATGGGTATATCATCACCCCTACTGCTATTGAAGCTGTTAGCACAATGTAATGGAAATAGTTGTAACAAATAAAGAACCTAAACATAATGTGAGAATGAGATTTATCTTTCATTTTTGCCTAATTTGGAAAGATGCGAGAATGCTAGCATTGTTCTGCTCCTGTGTAGGCTCTGATATTAACTCCTTACTGAGAGTTGTTGCTGTGCTGGGGATGGTTCTCTGCAAGAGCAATGTGATAATTACTTGCTTGTAAAAGGTGAAGAGCTATAGTCAAAAGCTTATTTTTCAGAGCATTAATTCATGCACGGTCATTATCTCATGATTAAATTTAACCAGTGTTTTTACTGCAGGCTTCTTAAACCAGCTTAGCACTATATGCCTTTATGCGTGATTGAACTGATCTGGTTTACTTTGCAGCAAAACTACAGAGCCTTGCTTTTGGATGTTTTCTAAGAGGTGGTAGATAAGATATATTAGTTATACCTTTAAAATCCTACCTTAAGTGAAGCCACTGTTACTGTCTGGAACAGCTCAGACTGTTGTTAGCAATTATGGGAATTAATTTTGTGAACAAAACTATCAGGATGATTTCTCAAGTGTGCATATGAGGGACGTAGAGAGGGGACTCACTACGACTTGTGTGCACCGACAATATTATCAAACTCTGCTGCCATTTTGACTTTGTTGTGCTAATTATCTAAATTATATATACTTTGAGGCTAGCTCTGTCTTTCAGCTCTATGTAGAGCATTTTGCCCAGGAGGTCTAAATAGATGACTGAAGATTGTAGCTGACTTGGAAAGAACTAGTGTTTTCCAGGAAGATTTTTTTATTTTTTTCTTACCTTCATATTTTATTCTGAGGCAGAAAATAATAATAAGACAAACAAAAACGATGTGGAAGAATTACACCCAAAAGATTGTTTTCAGAAACAGCCAGTATATTTCCTCAGATCTATTCGACTTTTTTTTTTTTTTTTTTTTTTTCATTGGCCCTACTGGTCAAAAAGGTAGTTTTCTAAAGTGCTACCACTGTCCAAAGCCTAAATAATAACAATAATCATGGCAATAATAAATAGTATTAGGGTGGGATTTTAGCACAGCCTAAGCCTGTAATTTAATGATCTGGTGGGTTCCCTGACCAGGAGCATCATTCCTCCCGCTACGCTACACTGTAGAGTGCTGGGTACCTTAACAAAACTCTCTGTAGGGCGGCATGAGGACATGAAATGGGGAGCTGATACAGCTGAATAAAAAGCTGAAGGTGTAGGAAAAAAAAAAAAAAGAAGAAGAAGAAGAAAAAGAGGGAGAAAAGAAGGGGATTGGGAAGAGATCTTTAACTTAGCCTAATTCACGGAGCTGGGCCTTTGCACACCTCCAAGCCAGCTCAGACACCATGTTGTAGAAGCACGTCAGTGGAGGCTGGACTTTCCTACACACCAGTGTGTCCTTCTGCAAGGACAGAAGTCGTAGTGGAATCTGATTCCAGGAGTCAAGTATAAATATCACCTTTCAGTCAGTTTGTCTGGCTTTTGTCCCTTGATGATTTATTACTTCTGCCCTTTTTTTCTGAAAGATGATGCATAAAATGCTTGACTAAATAGCCAGAGTGTGTGTGTGTGCGTGCGTGTGTGTGTGCGTGTGTGTATTCCCCTTATTCCTAGAAATTCATTTCTTGATTTAAGCAATGTTGAATTTGCACCATTGTTACAAAATTGGGAAATTTAGGTGGAGGCTTCCTTTAAACTTTTGCTTTGGTTATTGTAATCACTATTAAAATAACAACGCTAATTTCAGTGTGATTAAGCCACTATTAAAATATCCAGCTAATGTTCCAGTTAGGGCAGCATAACAGGAAATATTGCTGCAATTAAAGGAACATGAAAATGCCATTATCTCCAAAACTGCCTGGAGCTCAGTAAGTTTTAATACAGAGAAACCCAAGCTTCAAGTCTTCTTTCCTTCAGGTATTTAAAACTATAGAATATGGAATATGTCAAAGCATTAATGAGGTTTCAGCTGGATGACTGGGTCCAGCTTGGGGCAGCCCACTCCCAGAAGTATGTATCTGAGTTGTTTAGAGTCAGAAGAATCTCCTCCGAGCACATCCAGCCTCCCTAATGGAGTACACATGGCTGTAACAAAACTAGAAATAACATTTTAGACATCAAGAAAGCATTTGTAATGATAAGAGTAAACGGAGAACAGGCACAGATTTCCTGTGGAGGTTGTGGAATCTGGAACTGGGTCTTTGGAGACCCCTGAGAACAGGTTGAAGAAACAACGGTGAGGAATGACAGGCACAGGTGATCCCGTCCTGGGTCAGAATGGGGAGGACCTCTTAGAGATAGTAATAATAATAATTAATTATCCACACAGCTGGGTAGGTAAGCACTATTATTTTGAGAAAAATAAGACAAAGAAGCTAAATTAAAGTGGAGTGTCTTTTACGTCCCACAAGTTGATGTATGAATACATGAGCTGAAAAATTAGATGGCTGTGAAAAGTAATAATCCTGACAGCAACACAGCAGCATCATATTAAACAAAACAAAATAATGAAAGAAAAACAATTAAATCTCTGATATTTAGACTTTGCAGTCAACTCTCAAATAGGTAAATAGTCAAAGTACTAACCCATTTCACTTTTCCAGTGTTTGTTTGCAGTTTGATGTTATGCTTTAGCTGGTTTAATTGCAGGCTGCCAATGCAAAGAACAGCCCTGCTCTGCCTCTT